CGCTCGTCCAGCGCCGCGCACTCCGCGGTCGTCGGCGTCGCCGCACCCGACATGCCGCCGCCCTCGCCCTCGCTCTCGCACGTCCGCACCCTCGCGCCTTCGCCCGCTCACCCAGTCACCGCGTGCACCACCAATCACACTTTGAAATAGGCGCTCCACGCACCTTTAACATTTAAATTAACCGCTCGAGTCTCTTCAGTTTATTAAAAACAATATGTTTCACTCACTTTTACACTTCGACACAATTCCAAGTAGTCCCTTTTCAAATTTTTAGCGTTCTGTATCCGCTAACAAAAATATAAATCAGTTTTGTAAAAAAATACAAATGTGAGTGTTCACATTTCACAAGGACAAAGAACGTAAAGGCATGTTAATATTGAAAGGAAACATAACCACTACCGCAACAAACACTGAAATACTATGTAGTTTCCTGCCAAAGCTTACCTATTTATTATTTATATTAAAACAACGCAAAAAGCATTATAACGCAACAAAGCTACCCGCTACACAACCAAAGAGATACAGATCCAATAACAAATCACAACCACAACCAACTTGTTTTGTTGGCTTGTTGCACGGAACTATACGAGCCGAGCCGATAGAACACGAACACGAAACGAGCAAACATCAATCAACAGTCCCTGCGAGTCAGTATTGCCAATGAAATTTTTTACCCAGCCGTGTACATCAAGTGTACATTGTGAAAAAAAAACTGTTTGTATGGAAAAATATCTTCGGTGGCCGTAGCACCAGTAAAAAGGACTTTTTCTAAAAGTTGCTAATTCACCATTTTTAATATCAATGAACTGTGTTAAAACTGTCCTTCCTTTGTTTTATAAAATCAAATCATTTGAAAAGGAATTTATTAAAGAAAATCATTGAATTATTGTAGATTTTCGAAAAGCCGTAGATCCTACTACAGCGTCAAGGTTGCGGCCGTAGACCGTAGATTCTGTAATTAAAAGCAATTTCATGGCCCGAAAGCCGTAAACACATTATTTTTATACACTCTTTGGTAAAACACGGCAATTGCCGTAGCATTGGCAACATTTCTGCGAGACGAGTTAAAGGCGAATGCGAATTAGGGATGGGGATGGGCGTTAATTGAACTAACTAGTTTAATTTACTGTTGATCACCCTTCAACTTAATGAACGTTTCAACCGTTTCATTAACTATAAAAAAAATTAACTTGGATGACTCATTTATTTGTTCACTAGCTTTCGTCCGCATGAAATTAAAAAAAAGAAGTAAGTAGCCTATGTGTTGTTCCAGACTATCCTCCACATCTATGCTTATCATGAAGATAAGTCCACCGTTTAAGCTAAAAAACGAAACTATAAAAGACAAATTGAGTACCTCCTTCTTTTGGGAAGTCGGTCAAAAACTCCAAACAAACATTCATCCACCCAAACCTTCGCATTTTAATAAAAGTAAGATTCTATAACACAAGCTTAAATATCATTATAAAGTTACTGGATGCTTTTGTGTGTCTTCATCATCGTGAAATTATAAAAACTGTGTTTCATTGCTTACATTTCGTTAAACTTTCAATTGCAAATGTCAAAATTTAAATGCATAAATGACAACGAAGGCCCTTGGCTTTGGCGAGTATTGTTTATGAGTAACTATGGCAACCTTGTTTTTTTTGCTGCTATTGGCTTGTAGTTTTTGTCCCTTTCCCGCATGACACTTTTTCCAATTTATTTAACCCCCCCCCCCAAGTTGAATAGCGTGAATCTATATAGTCTAACGCGTGTCGTCAGTGTAGGGGTTTTTATTAAAAAAATAATTATACAAAAACGGGCCTAGCCGTTTCGGAGATGTGGGGGCCAACTTCACGGAGGTGTCCATCTGCATGTCGTATCTCACGAGTACCACTAGCCACTCCTTGTATATGACGCTTGTGTAAAAAGCAAGTAAAAACGACAAACGTATAGTGCCACATTAAGCAAGTTTATCATTAGTACTATTGATTAAAATCCATCCAAAGCAATTACCTGCTCACGTCAGGTCACGAATACTTTTTTATACTTGTTATCCTAAAATAAATTTCAATATGGTCACCATGGTCAAAGATGGAAAAATGGTATTTACTGACGTCTCGCTCGGATTCAATTTTTCGACGAGAGCTTTATCCTGTTCCAGTAATACATACATGGCAAGAATGAACCAAGAACTTGTCAATTTAATAGAGAACATTTAGCGCCTTCTTGAAATCCCCTTCATTTTGCAATACCTCATTAGTT